GAATACACAGCAATTACTGAAAGCTGGGGATGCTTGTGTCTCACATAAAGGAGGTACGTCTCTCAGGTGACGCGTCTGCATAGGCCTTGTTGAAGGATACCGAAGGCAGAACTCTTATATTCAGATCCAACCCTGTGAACCACAATGAGCCTCATCCTTTTATAAGTTGACCATCTTGGGTATTTCATTAGAGCAATAAAAGGCTACTGTGGTGGCTTAGTCGTCAGGGCGTGGTACTACTTGAGAAAGCTTAGTGGGCGTGGCCTTAATGAAGGAACTATGCCTTTGAGGTTTCAAAAGCCCCCTCTCTCTCTCATCCTGTGAATCAGGAACTTTTGGGTACTTCTCCAGCACCATGGCTGCCTGCTTGCTGCCATGCTCCCACCAAGATGATATCAGACCAAACCTCTGACACTAAAAGCCAGCCCCAGTTAAATGCTTTCCTTTGTGAGAGTCCCCTTGGTCACCGGTCTCTTCACAGCAGGAGAGCACAGCTACCTATGCCTGTGCCACTACCAAAACAAAGCAAGAGATAGTGAGACTTGCTCAAAGAAGTAAAACTTGGAAGGGACAGAGGTAGGTATGAGACTTAAGCAGCCTAAAGGCAGGGTGCCGGGAAGTCCTGCACAGCAATGGCCCAAGTGCTGCCAAAAGGGCCACAAGGTCAACTGTGACCTCAGGAAATACTCGGAACAAGAATGGCGTTATGAATTCCCTGTGGGATAAAAGAAGGGGTTCTGTTCTGGTTATCTACACAGAATTAAAGCTACATATTTGATCATTTGCATAATGCATGCATCCTGCGAGATAGAGGCAGTTATATCTAGGAGTGGGGACGGCAGAGTGAGAAAGAGTGATGGAGAATTTCTATTTTTGAATTACATATTCCTAAGCTGCATGGAAGTCTGGAAAACAAACTTTTGTTCGTGTTCTAATTTTAATGCACTGCGGTTTTTTTTCCCAAAAGTGAAAGACGCATGCGGAAAAAGTTTGTCTTTTCAGATGTTTCTATTGACCCTGTCTCTGGTTTCGCTCACATGTTTTCCTCTTTTAAAAGTTGGTCCAAATAGGTGTTAAACTTGGACTCTTCGACTTTCTGGACTGTTCTGAGCTCACAGAAGGCAGAGACTGTCAGTGGCATCAGCTTTAGCCCTACTGTGCTTATGAACATTTTTTAAATGAAACCTCTGGGCCACTGGGGCTGTGAGAGAAAACTGCCTTTTTCTCATGCCTTCTGCTATCTCTTAGGACCACTAAGATAAGTGGAGTCCAAGAGATGCATCCGTCCTGAGGGAGAAACACCACAGTGCATTTATGTCAGGAAGTGCAAACAGCACACTGATCACCAAGCACGCTCTTCTTCTACACAGCGAGTGCCAAGCCTGCTGGCTCCTTGTGGTTTTTTTTTCCCCAGCACTGCCTGTGGCAGGGCTCCCAGCTTAGAACACCCTCTGAAGAGCCAGCAACCCAGATGCCACGGGTTCCCCCACTCCCATTATGTGTGTTTCTACAACCTGGAGCAGAGAGGCCAAGAAGCCATTGGGAGAGTCAAGTAAGATTCTGTCGGAGCATGAGAACATACACTGGCTTGCACATCCGTGGTCCTGTTGTTCTTCCTTAGCTACAAGCCGCTTTGAAAATTCTTCGAGAGATGTATCATTGAAAACTAACCAAAATAAAGTGGAGGCAGTCTTAGGTGAAAATGAATCAAATCATAACTACAGAAACATCAGTGTGGCGACAGGTGCAGGTAGACACACAACGGGTTTTGTATACTTGTATTAATTATGCATAGGAATAACCCAGTGCGCATGGCCAAACACTGATACAGTAACTTTTTTTGGAACTCTTATGATAATAGTAACTAGACACTTAACAACAACAACAACAAAAGTAACTGGACAGAAATAAGCAGGAGAAAATGGAGAGGAAAACAACCCTCCCGCTTGACATTGCTTCTGTCACAGATCCAGTAGCCTATCACATTTGCAACAAGATGCTTAAACTACAGTAAACAAGCAAGAGTGAAATATAAATTCTAGCTTAACAGCAAAATCTGAGCCACTAGCTGACCCCTCTGCCAGCTTCAGGTCTGAATGAAGGAAGACACATGCTTCAGAGATCTTCAAAGCAACAGCACTAAACTGTTAGTTCACTATTCGAAAGCTTGTACCACAAATTCAAGTGGTTGACATGTAAGATAAGCCAGGTTGCTCTCTGAGTCATGTTAGAAGAGCGGTAGCCAGTGTGGTGGTGTTGAAAGGTGGCGTAGGACATGTAAGGGAACGGACCAAGTGATTGGTGGCTAGGACAGTGAGCTGCTGCCCTTGGAAGGGGTGAACGTGGGCTTTGCAGAGTGAGTTCACAAAAGAAGCAATAAAAGAGCTAGCCTGATCTGCCCTGCCGTTGGACTTCCTAACTAACCTGGTGGTTTGATTCTCTCCCTGTTCCACCTTCCGCTGGGCTTGAGGAAGGACAAGGAGAGGCCTCGCCCCAGGAGAGGTGTCTACTGTTTGGATTTCCAGACTTCTGAACCATGAGCCAAACAGACCTTGTTTTTATATACAGCCCACAGCTTCAGGTATTTAGTTATTTCTTAACAGCCATGGAAAAGGAACGCAGCTGGGATGGGCTCAAAGCCCTGAAAGCCTAAAGGTGGGTTGTCAGCCATCTGCGGTCCTGATCTCTGGCAAAGATGATGTAGTTTCTTCTCTTGCTCCTGAGAAACTCTGACCAGCACACCGTCTGACTACTTCAGGAGTATGATGTTTGCAGTCTTCCCGTTTGAGGACATATGTTATGAGCATGACTTTCCCTCTGATGGCATTGAAAGTACATTAACTCACATTAATTTTTCAACACCACCTTTAGTTCTGTTTTGTTTGTGCTTGACCCATGAGCCCCATCTTAATTTCTAGATCCCCAAAGATGATGGTAGACTCAACATCTGACTTGTTAAGTGATAACCTCGGATCAGGGACAATCTGTACGGACCATACCACAGATTGACTGGCGGCTGAAAACAAAAATAAAACAAAGTCCATCTGCTCCAAACAGAGCACAAGTCTCCAAGACAGCACCGCAAATGTACTTTTTATTTATGTTTAAGACTAAGACAGAAAACACACCATAGTAGTCACTGTCTGGAAGAAGTCATTGGCGGCCATGCTTAAGGGTTAAGCAAGTTCTTCCAGTTCATGCAGGATGAAAACTCGGGTGTTAGGTGGTTATCGTCTGTCTGCTATCTATTTAAAATACTGCTTGCTCCAGTTTTGGGGGTTCTGTCTGGAATATAGCCTTGGAAACAAATGTCTACTTTTGTTACCCTTCCATTGCACAACCGGAAGAACAGGTTGCCATTTGTAGGTACTTCCTCTGTCCATGTATCATTCCTGGACAGTATCAGGAAGACTTCCTAGACTCTGCTCCCAGGATTCCCAATGCTTCCAGTGAACTCCCAGAAGGGCCTAAACATAACCCTTCTCAGAAGAATCCACAGGTGAAAATCCTCAAGTTAAACCCTTCAAGAAAGGAGACTCGGTCTCAAGAGCCTGATGCTTCCCAGTGCAAGCTGTGCTTGGGGACTCATGCTCAAAATGTCCCCAAGGAAACAAAGCACCTGGTGAGGGTGAGACCCGCAGAGGCCTATGGTAGGTACCCAGCACATGTGAGCAGACAGCTAGCCCAGCCTGGTGGATTGGGGGAGAGATGGATGGGTTCAGTTTGCATGACAACCCCACAATGTCACAGTAGAAGAAAGATGTGGCAGCCTCTACTCATGACAAAGGATTAGTGACTCTCAGAGCTTGGGCTGCACTGGCATGGGCCGCCCCTGAACACTGTCCAGACACCAATTTCCCGATCCACACAGACCCAACTATGTGAGAACTTTGGGGGAACCCTGTGAGTCTCTGTCACTCGATTAGAGAAGCCATTTTTACAATCACTCCTGTCACTCCAGACACTCCTTCCCCCAAGTCTTATTAGAGCGAAGGAGTTTTTCTCCTAAGGAAGATGCACAGGCTTTGAGGCAGTCAAGACTGGAAGAGTTCTATTGTGTCACATCTGAATTGATACACCTGAGAATCCCTATCATGGTCACCAAAAGGAAGGGGGGGGGAAACATCAGAAAAGACCATCCATCCAGGGCCCATGAAGGTACTATTGCTTAAGTAAAGACACCCACATACGTGATCCTCCACTCAGGTCACCACCAAGCCTTCTTAGAGTTTCCCCCTTTAGGCATTTACAGTACAGAGCTGTCAGAGACCACACAAAATGCAATGATCCCATAACAGCTGATAAATCGGCCTAAATGTCACAGCAAATGCTTCTTAGTCCCCGGAACTCTTCATTTTTATATAAAAGCATTTGAGTGTCTCCTCATCCCTGCCCCCAAATACAATTTATTAGCCTCAAAAAAGTATCAGTTATCTGTTTGAGACAATACAGTCTCTTACCTCTCAGACCTGAGATACTTAAATAAAAACCCATCTGCATGCACAGCCTCGGTGTACCACGGTGGCTTTTTTTGTTTTACTTCTGACAGTGTTTGATGCTTAATTTTCAGAAACTAAGAATATAGAAAAGCAGTAGCAAAAGAAAGCAGGTGACAGGAGACTTGGAATCTCAGTGTACAACAGAAAGGAGCACTCGTGCCGTCGGCCATAGCATCTCCTTGCCCCTGTGCCTCGCCTATCCATGACCACAGCAAGCATTACTCAAGCGCTGCCCCATGCCTAACCCTGCTGAGCTAGTCCACATTCGAGAAACCAGTTCATGCCTCCTGGGACAACTGCACTCACGGGAAAATGGGCAAGGTTGAGTAATTGTGGGCTTATTCTGTCTTCATTTGTAGTATCATATCCTTGCTGCTATTTTTCAGCCTTAAAACCCAGTCAACATAAATCCAGCCACTTCCTCTTTCAGTGATAATTAGCATTAGTCATGAGCCAAAAATGAGTCCACTCAAGAAGCAAAATAAGCAGACTTCTGCTTACCTTTCATGCCAAACTTGGAATGTCTCGCCAACTTGAGCAGAAGCAGCATCACCAGCAGGCAGAATCCCACCACAGACGCAATCACCACCACCGCATAGACCTGGGAAGAGAGAGAGGCAGGCTGTGACGGCCTTGCAAAGCAATTCCCTGCACTACGATGACAGTGATGACTGTGGTAGGTAACCTTTCTTGAGCACTTGCTATTCACTCTCATAATCCTGTAGACACAGCGGGACACTTTAACCTCAACAGTCCTGCAGTGAAACAGGTAAGTCCTATTAGGCGCTGACTTTACAAAGAAGGAAGCATGTTAAACTTATAAACAGATATCTCACTGATCTCACAGAACTAATCCTATCTGTGGCTACATCTATCTATCCTCCTATGTAGAGACACAGGAGCAAACACAAAGGGAAGGAGAAGAAAGGAAATGAGTGAAAAAATATTAATGTTTTGATGCTAGTGACAAATACAATTTCATCATTCACATTGCTTCTATGAGTGCTTAAAAGTTGTTCACAGTGAATAACCTTTTCAAGTTAGTGTCACAGCTTGCAGAAGCCAGGGTGTGCAGGAAGCAGGGAGGTGTTTTGAGTGCATCCCAGTCCTGAACACAACTAGAGACAGACATCCCTGATCTGTTCATGTTCCTGTGTGGATGAAACTGGCCAGAAAGAGGCAGTAAATTTTTTTTTTTTAAATGGAATTACAAGTCACTGGTTATGCAAGTAGAAAGAGTAGCTGTGCGGATTCTGACACAACCCCCCAAAAGAAGACAAGGAGACTTAGTATTCCTTGCCACCACCGCTCCTCTGGGTACATTATGAGCCTCTTATTCCTTGAAGGACATTGTGACATTATAGAAAGAGAGACGTAACAATGTAACGCACTGTGTGGTGCCTTTAGATTTTGCTCGGCCAAGTATCCTAGTTGGCTTTCTGTTGCTGTAATAAACACCAAGACTAAAACCAACGCAGGAAGAAAGGGTTTATTTCATCTTACAGTTTACCAGGAGTCCGAGGCAAGAACTGGAAGGCAGAGACTGAAGCAGGGAGTGTGGAGGAACGGTTTACTGCTTTGCTCCTATGGCTTATTTATCTCCATGGCTTCCCTGGACATCCTAGAACCTCCCACCAAGGTGCCTCCACCCACAATTAATCCACATCAACCATCAATGAAGAAAATGCCCACAGACACGCCTCCAGGGCCACTCTGATAGAGGCACTCCTTCAGTTGAGGATCCCTGTTTCCAGGTGACTCTGGTTTTCATCAAATTATCAAAACAACCAGACCAGCAAGGATCAGGGAATTGGCAAACTCTGTAATCTACCAGACAGAACTATCAGATTCTGCCACGCACGCATGCAGCCTCTGTTGCAAGAACTCAGTTCTGCTAGAGTAAGTTGAAAATAAGTGTACAAGGGCCATGTTCTAATAAAACTTTAGTCATAAACACAGATGCTGCCCTTTGGCAGTGCTTACCAACTCCTGTGTTATTCACTCTGTTACTAATCCTTAAAGCAGTACTATGGTTCCCTCTAAAGCAGTGGTTCTCAATCTGTGGGTCTCTACCCCTTGGGAGTTGGGTGACTTCTCAGAGGTTCACGGGGGTTGCCCAAGACCATCAGAAAACAGAGACTTATATTATGATTCATAACAGTATCAAAAATTACAGTTACAAAGTAGCAACAAAAATAATATTTTGTTCAGGGGTCATCGAATGTAGAAGTGTGTATAGGGTTGCAGCATGAGGGAGGTTGAGAACCACTCTCCAAGGGAATGATCAGTGTTCCTTACTGAACTGATCCTGGCTCCTGTTTCTTTAAAAAATGTATTTCCCACCTTGCTTGTGACTAGGTGGATTTACAATATTAGTTAAGGCCAGTGTTGATGAAGGATAGACAATATCTGTCAATCTGAGATCTGAGTCTAAGGCCATGGTTCTCAGCAAGGCATGATGCAGTCATCGGAAGACTGTTGGGCAACTCTAGATTCTGTCAGTGGGGCCTGGGGGAGGTCCCATGAGCACTTAGTGAAGAAAAGCCAAGACTGATGCTAACCATCTAGCATGACCAGGACAGAGCTCTCTGTGTTCCTCACCACCAAAGCCAACAGTCTCACTGTTGAGGAGCCCTGCTCTGCCCCTCTCAGTAGCATTTCCTCCCTGCTGTGAGGAACACCAATGCTCCAAGGAGAAGCTGTGTGTCAGGCAAGTCCTACAGTCAGAATAAAGCTGAAAGACTCCCAGGAAGACACCTAATGAAGCCTGAAAGAAATCTTTGTGGTGTTTAGCCCCTAAGATAGGGGCATGTTTGCTACTGTCGTGTAGCATACCCTGACGGCAGCAGGTGTAGATAGTTCAGACAGGGCTTGTCTCTGAGTGTGAAGTTCAGATGTGCCTCTCTGGTTCTCGTAAGTTACATGTTTACCAGTTCACTGCCTTGTAGATTATACCTCCTCGTTGAGTTCATGTGGACAGTGAATGTGGAACATTGGCTACTGTAGTAAACATTGGTACAGTCAAAACTAAAACTCAGGAAAAATAAATAAGTAAGCATCCCAAGGTCGTGCAGCTTGGAATCCAAACCAGTCTATCCGGTTATTCAAAAACTGTAATTTATTCACAACAGAGCGTATGATTCACAATGAAGGCAGGAAAATAAGATGTCATGGCTAATCCCTCTGCGGTTTCATGTCTGGTGTCAGATAAGAACCCTAAGTCCGTTACAAAGAACTTCAAGGGCACTGACAATGGCCATGATGTGCAAGGGTCTGATAACAGACCCTTCTGCTGTTTTCTTATTTTTGGGCTCTCTCAGTACCCCTGAAAACCCTGGGTCTAAACTCAACCTCTGTGTACTCAAAGTGACAGCAGATCACCTTGACCTAACCAAATCCGTCTCCATTGAACTTGCCTGGCCTATCCCTGTTATGTGCATTACTCGTGTGTTGGTTAGCTAGTAGCCTTCTTACTCATAAGAAACATTGTCATGGCTTCACAGAATTTATGTTCAGAGTCCTTACTTACTTAATAGCGACTGCAAGGAAAAACTGATACTATGTTGTTATATTTGATACTTACTTTGTTAGTGTTTTTTTTTTATCTTTTGCTATGCCTAACTTATAAATCAACCTTCATTATGGGTTGTAGTGGGAACTCACAGGGTCCCTGAATCCCACTCAGGCTTCAAAACTACCTGAAATTTCAAGCATCTATAAGAGATCTTAGAATTTGTCCTTTTGACTGAAAAACATGGTGACTGGGATAGTGAGGTGACTCGGTGTGTAAAAGCACTTGCCTCATGCAAGCCTGTTGACCTGTGTCTCATCCTTGGATACCACAGTGGAAAGCAGTCCTCTCAACACAAACACTTAGGCATATACGTGCCCAAACATGTACACACTCATCGTGCAGGTGAACATCATTCAGGAGCAGGTCACTCAGGTATGGCAGAAGGAGGGAAGATGGCTGGATTCAGGGTAATAAGGAATCAGAGCTCACAGGACATGCCGAGTGAGAGGAAAATTCAACATGAAGCTGGGCTTTGAGCAGAGCAGTTACCAGACTCATCCCACCATGGATGCTTAGGACCGGCAAACCCTTCAAAAGCAATTCGCTATAGAATGAGGCTAATCACCTGGGACTATCTCAAGACTCTGTCATCAGCCTGAGCCTCCCAGTGAACCACCTGCATCATGTTTTCCAGTTGCAAGATCTTCTTTACATTCCCAATACCCCTCTCATTTCTTCGTGCTTAGGTTGATCACCCTGCACTGGCAATGCTGAAGACCACTTCACCCCCAGAGTCCCTGTCTAAAAAAGACAGGCCTGGTTTTCCTTCCCCACAACATTCTCTAAAGACACTCTAAAGACAACTGGATTTCTATGTTTGGCAGACACCCAAATTTTATTTTAAGAAAAGAAAGAAATAGATGTGAAAATATGTTCTCTGAATATAAGAACTGGTTTTCTGATTTCCCAGTAGTCCGGTTGTAAAGGACAGATATTTAAAAGAGTAATAACTATTGAAGTTGGTGCACTATGGGACTGGGAGACATCGGTACTTAAGAACACCTGGTGCTCTTCCAGAAGACCCTCATTCAGTTCCGAGCACCCGCATCAGGTGGCTTAGCACCAGAAAATCTGACACTCCCTTCTGCTCTCTGCCTTTTCCTGGCTTTTGTAGCTATACATTCACATAGACACAGAAATAAAGTAAACTGTGTTTCTGAGGCCGGTGGAAGATCTGAGTTCAGTTCCCAGCCCCCAGATGGCTACTAACAACCTTCTGTTAACTCCAGTTCCCGAGGATCTAAGGATATGACACTGTCTTCTGGCCACCTTGGGTACTGCACACACATGGTGCACAGCTACATATTCAGAAAAAACACCCACACACATAAAAAGTAAATAAATAAAGTATCAGAAAAATTAAATATGTGTTGCACTACGAGAAAATCACATAAATTAGAGGTTGCGTGGTCTCCACATCATTGTTTCTGAGCCTTCCTAGTAGAGCCTCCGATCTCTGACGGCCTGCTCACATCAGAACATTAACTGTCTTATGCAGGCAGTGACAATTTCCCCGGCATATGAGCATCCAGAGTGGTCAGAACCCACACAGGAACTGCCCGTTTCCCCACTCACCGAGAGATGCTCCCGATTGCTTTGGTCAGCAACATCCGTGGAGGGGATTTCATTACTTTTATTCGTAGTTTCTCCCATCTCAGTGGCGGTGGTCCAGTCTTGAATTGGAGATAAGAGAAAGAGAAAGAACAGGAAGTCATTGCTAGGTGGCTGACATGCATACGTACACAGGCCTACAATGAGTCCAAGAACAAGGCAAAACAGGCTCTGAGAGTCCGAATCACTGTCGGGGCAGCCTGGCTGTGTGGGGGATGTGCCTGGCTGCTCAGTCAATGCCTGGAAAGCCAGCGCTGCATAAACTGAGCAGTGCATTTGGTCTGCATGTCTCCAACACCGTTTTGCTGGACACTCTAAACTGGCTTAAGGTTTCTCCTTTACTCTTAACTAAAATACCACTTTATTGATGCCACCTTTAAAACAAACAAGAATAAGAGCCAAGGATGTTTCCACATGGAAGGCCTTTGGAGGGCAGATCTGGCTGCCAGTTCTAAAGGAGAGAACTCTCAGCAGGAGGTCTGGGGCCACGTAGAAGCCCTCGGTGCCACATGACAGGCCAGACTGTAAGGCAGCACTGATTTCTGGGTACGAGCATCTCTTTGGAGAACAGGTCAAGGGCTTAAGATTCGACCTGATATGAGCATCAGTGGAAATCCACAAAGGAATTTTCAGAAGAGCTCAGGCATGCCAATATTCCATAATGAATAGACCAATATAATAATTAGTCGTACCGATACGGCTTTATTTTGCCACAAATCTCAATGTCAGTCACCATGTTCTAGGTCAGTTTTAGTATACATGGATTAGAATGGAAATGATCAACTGATTTTCACGGGTAGTCAAAGTACTTATTCTTAATACTACATATCACAGAAAATTTTTAGCAAGCTGGCTGCTGACAACATGGCTTATAAAGCCCTGTTTCTGGGCTCTAACTGGGACCAGTGCCCCTCATCTTCATCAGCTCAGCCCCAGGGCAAGGAAGGATCATCCTGCTGGCTTCGGGGCAAGCCATTCAAACCACATTTTTATTAGCGCATGTTCCTTTGAATGCGAGTGAAAAAAGTAACAGAAAGGGCATTTATTTTCCATGTTTGTTGTTGTGCTCTTAATGCCAGAACTCGCATTTCAACGATGTTTGTTTGGAATATCTTAAAACTCACTGATTTCAGACATAAGCAGACATCATTTATTTACTGGGTTTTCTTTGTAGTATAGCCAAGTAGCCATTCAGAACTTAGACCACTTTAAATGTCTCTAGTTTAAAACCATGACATCTTAGCCAAAAGGCCCACAGTGGAATCTGGAGCCACTGGGAAGATGACATTTTTAAAGTTTCGAAGTTACTGAAAAGAAATTCCAAACATAACTTTAAAATGCAAAAATCACTGTTCAAACTTCATGCTGTGTGGTATAATCTGAAACACGTTTTTCTTAAAGCCCCAGCAGGTTGAATAAAACATATATGTGTGTGTGTATATATATATTTGAATCACCTGCACAAAATCAACCAAGCCACAAATTAGATGAAATAATGGTTAGCATGTATACACAGGTAAAGGCAGCATAATTCCCAGTTAAAATTAGCTGGAGTTAAATACACATATAAAAAGCATAGGACAGTCTATAGGAAAAGCATGTGCGATGGAGATCTTCTTTGGTCACTGAAGGTGAGAGTCACATTACAGACCCTAGCGGGCAGGAACATCGGATAACATGTCCATGGAAGTGAAAAGCTAGCAAAGACCTTTTAAAGTATGGTGTCCTAACCAATCCAATTTTAATCATTTTGAGTTTTAGTCCCAGTCTTGAAACAAATCCCATCACATATAAACTTGGTGGCTCTATAATCATGATGATAGCCTGGAAATCTGCTAGAGTTTTTATATCCATCAACACACCCTTGGCATTTAGGCAAAGAGTAGGAGTGGGCAGCTAAGCCATCATTAATGTAGCCTTTGGGTTACCCTCTTCCCTGCTCCAAAAGGGATGTCACTTTATCTAGGCTCTGAAGCCCAGGAAAGCTGGCCTGCCCCTCTGGGGATGGGACTAGCGACTCGGAGCTAAGCAATCCTGCTTCTCTGTATGAGGTTAGATGGACCACGGTCTGGGTTATTTACACCACAGCATCGGCTCACACCACCAAGAAGACCAGCCTCAGCAGAGCTGGTCGGCAGAGGTAAAACGTACAGCAGAGACCGAGGGTCTCTATGACACAGCCCAGTGGCCGGCTAAGCTGCCCCACATAAAGCCTTCCCTTAAGGATGCTCCTGCCCGTGAACGGTCTTTTGCATTATACAAGAAAAAAAATTTCGTCTGTGTTTCCTGCCGTGGGCCAAAGGTGATCCACCTCCCTCTCTCCGTCATCATGGCTCTTAAACAGGTAATTAGTTCCCAATTACGGAAACAAAATGTCTCCGAGAGCAGAATGGATTTACTACTTCCAAGAAGAGAGCCTCAGAGAGAAAGTGCTATTTACAGGCACTGTAAATATCAAGGGAAAAGAGCCATCAATACTGGGTGATACTTGAGATGTTATTTTGGCTCATGTAGCACTTGAAAATGTGTATTTAACTCAGCTTACAGGCTTTCTTTTAGCTGATTTATTTCATTATGCACAAACATTTTGAAAAGAAAGATATGTAGAATGAAGAAACATGATCGCTACCTTCATAGAGGACTTCAGGGTAATTTGGGTTTGCCTCTGAAAAGCAAAACACATTAAAAACATATAAGTACACATTTTAGAGTTAACGGCTGCTTAGCTGTACCGAGTGAAATACGTTAAATATGCCCTGAGGTTTTTATATCCAGGTAGGCTGCCCGCTGCTCATAGGACAAATACATAGGAGCTAGGGTTCTGGTTTCCCTACATAGAAAGCTGTCGTCTCCTTCTTCTTCCTCCAAATCTCCCCCAAAACAATGAGAAATCACTTATCTGTTTGGGGAAAAAAAAATCAGTGCATCTTGGCCTTGTCCAGTTTCCACTACACAGCTGGCTATGTTAACCATAGTTTAGATATTTTTATGTCAAATATGGCAATTTTCATAGCATTCTCGTTATCCTCTGAACTTTGGGGTTGCACTATGTATCCCAGAACCATTTATCCATGTTACCAACCATTCTCCCCAGAAACAAGAGTCCAAAGGCTGCTCTGTTCTAACAGCCCAGAAACAGAGTGTGCTTCCCCACTGAAGTCCCTGGATGAGAAGAGGCAGAGGGAAATTTCCTACCAGAGGTAAATATAAAACAGATAAAAGCTTATTTGTGTGGCTATATAATTACCAACTTGATCAGAAAAGCTCACTGCAAGGCATTTCTATAAAATGTTTTAAAAAAATAAAAAACATATTTAAAATGTTCAAATTTGGTGTCCACAAGATTGGTGAATCTTCCGGCTTCCAGCTTCCTGAGTTCAGCTACCCAGGTTAACAGGCAATCATGCTGGGAAATGCACTTAGTCCTGACAGTTAAGTAAGTGGCTGTGAAGGTAACCCCGCAGTACCTCCCTGTGCTTCCAGTCTCTGCCCATCAACAGCAAAACTTGTAGCCATGAGGCTTACCCAGTTATCACTTCACCTCTAAGCCCCGACATCAACAGAATTCAGCCAGTTTTCAGCTTCTGACTTCCTCAACGAGTAACAACCAAGGTTAGTCTAAATGAGCAAGCAAGTAAAGATGGCCCTTGTGTTTAACTAGACTTGTAATATACTTCAGAAAAAGAATTTCTGTTCTAGAGAGCAAAAATTAAATGGACGGCTATGTGCTTCAAATCAGGCCTGCTGCCTAACCATAGCTGGAGTCTATGTAAACATGACCACCTGAAAATGCTCATCATCCAACCCTCGAAGTCATCTGTGACCATGCTGTGTTAACTCACATAAAAGCAATCATCCAAGAAACTTTCAATTGTATTTTGGTGACTTTTATCATTGCCAATATAGTGTTGAAATATAATATCAAAATATCTATCCTTAGAATTACAACATCGTGTAAGGCAGCTGCCCTGCAAGTAGTCCGGGGACCACTTAGTGAATAAAGCATTGAGAATCCCCAGAATTGAATCTCCTGATGCCCCCGTGTAAGACATCTACTGCTCCTCTCACTCCAGCAAAGCCCCAGAATAATCTGGAGGTGCCTTTACCTCCAGGAGAAAGTACTTAGGGGAGAGGCTAGCCCATGGCCAAGAACAAATCACTGTTTTGTTTTCTAGACACTACCAAGCTAAAGCATTTACCAATGCCTCCATTCCACATTGAATACAACCCTTTCTCCTTTTGATTTCATCTTCCCCTTTGGGTTTCTGTTGTTGTTATTGTTGTTGTTGTTGGTTGGTTGTTGTTTTGTTTTGCTTTGCTTTAGTTTTGTTTTTGAGGCAGGGTCTCACCTGGGCTGGCCTCAGACTTGCAGTGACATCACCCCCCCCCCAAGCTCTGTCTCCCAACACTAGAATTACAGGTGTGCACACCAGCACTCTCTGCCCCGTTAACTTCCAGCGTCAACCACACCTCATTGGGCGTCTAGAAATCTGCCTGAATAGATTATTATGACTTGTTAAACTGCAAGACTCTACAGCTCGGGAGAAACTTAGTCAGAGGGTAAGAAAATAAACTAGAAAAACAGAGGTCGCATGGAAACAGGCATTGTGTGGTCTGCCACCAAGAGAAAAGCCATGGTGGGGGGCAGGGAGACATGCCTCTTTCCTTCTTTTTAGCTCCTTGTCTCTCTAATGCGTTAATTTCTAAGATTTATTTATTTTATGTGTCTTACTATTTGGCCTACATGCGTGTCTGAGCACCTCACCCATGGTGTCTGTGGAGGTAAGAAGAGGGCCTCAGATCCCCTGAAACTGCCATTACAGATGGCTGTGAGTGACATTGTAGGTGCTAAGGACTGAACTTGGGTCTTCCATAAGAGCAGCAGATGCTTTTTACCTGCCGAGCCATCCTCCAGCCTCCAGCCCTTCAAATACTCTCCAATCTAGTCTTTTCCTTCAATGTTACCTTGCAGATTCCATGATCTTTAAACTACTCCAAAGAAACCTTGTGGTAGGAAGAGCAGAACACATATTCTTTCTTTTTTTAGTGGGTAGTACTCGCTTTGGATCAGCAGGCTTCTGACATGAGACCTCTGCTAGCCAGGCTGTCCCCTCAGAGGAAGAGGCTGAGGCCACAGTTTGACAGCAGGAGGGCTCTACTCCTTTCTTACCCACCAGCTTTGAGTCTCCTCTCTCCTGAAAGAATGGCATCTGCCCTAGAATGAGGGAGGATAACAGCGTGGCTGTGGAAAGCCCTCAGGAACCTCTGAAGGTGTAACCAATCAACCCTAGTTCTCTGGAGATGGCAAGAGCTGTAAGGATGAATCTTAATGACCCTGGTTATCCAATGCTTGTGCCCAAACCATGTTCTCCTTGGTTTCTAAGGCAGGAAAGAATCTGTGATTCTGCAGTTTTAGCCCTAGGACAAGGAACAGGTTTTGATGATTGAAACAGTGCGGGCTTCACATTCTACTCTTCTGTGGAACCTGGGGAGAAATTTACTCTTGGTGTGTTCCTTGACTTGAACACACCGTCCCTAGATCTGCTACTTTGGGGCCTTCTAAGTTCGGCAGAGAGAAAGAGCCAGTTCACCCCACATCATGAATCTTTTGACAAAACAGCACTGGGAGAAACTGTGGGAAAAACACTTCCGATATTTATAGTTTGTCCCTGACACGCATTTTTGCATAGGAGACAACTGCTCCTGAATTAGGGAGCAGAAGTCACTAACTCCCACTGCTGTGTGAATGAGCATTCTGGAGCTGTGACATTCTTCCTGAATGAGTGGGCCAGAGAGACACTCTCTGAGCTGCCTAAAGAATCACGAGCTTCAAAACAAGAGTGTCATCATCGAGTTCTCTACGGTCTGCTCCAAGACAGACGTATTGAATTTCTTGTGTGCTGACGTGGATGGGACGATTTGACCCCAGTCAGAATGCTCACACTGAAGAAACATCTGGTCCTCAGAGTTCTTGAAACCAGCGCTATTTAGTCAGAAGCTACTCACGACAGGCCCAAATTCTTTCCTTGTGGCAAAACATAAGCTACTTTTTTCTGCATGTAGGATTGAATTCCAACAAGAGCCACCACAATGGCAGGCCCCAATGACACGAGGAAGTCCGGGGTTCCAAGAGCTTTATTGACATGGCAGATGAGAGATGATCTGGATGCACCCCCACTTAAGTCAGGACGGGCCTGACTTAAATAGGGAGGGAGGGGGGAGGGTCACTTAATTAGCTTACAGCTCTGGCCTTTAGGTATCTCATTAATATGGAAATCTCTTGAGACTGAGGCCTGTAGTCACACCCTTCACCTGAGTTAGGTGGCACCTCTTTGGGAGGGGCTGCATTGCCCTATGTGACTGCAAGGTGCAGGTCAATGGCATGTCAGGATCCTGGGGTCTGGGGGCATGGCCAAACACCTGCCGTTGCCCCATTAGGGTTGGGGTTCGAGGCCTGTGCCACACCAGAAACCAAGCCATCCCTTCACGGCCCCAGAGGGTCTGAAGGAACCTTCTGGGGGGATGTCAGGAACAGGAGTTGGCCAGATGTTAAAATAAAAGCTCACAGGTCCCACCTACCCCAACTAATACTCTCTGCTCAGTAGCTTTCAGTAATTCAAGATAGTCAAGAAGTTCCTCTGTTCTCAGTACCGATTGTCTCTACAGACCTTCTGCCAGGTCCTGCCTGATATGAGGGTAGGGATGTTCAAGGGCCATAAAGCTGATCTATTAGATCCAGGATGAAGGCAAGCATGGCAAGAAGCTGGCCAGGGAACCAAAGTTCAAGCGCTTCCATTCCCATCAGTGACTGGGACCTGGGTGCTTCCTTTTGAGAAGAGTGGCCAGATCCTACACTACAGCTGACACCACTGACACCAAATTCCTAAGAAGTCACATCTGCATTGTTTCTCTGACCTCCAGAGAGAGCTGGCATGCTGTTCGAACTCACCCAGAGTCTAGTGCAAGCCAATGAGTTAACAGTGTCCCAGCCTTAGTGACTATATCAGTGTGAACGGGAGACGCTCAGAGGTAGAACTCACAATGAAACTGGCTAAAAACTGCACCCAGCTAGTCCAGTTCACCCTCTGTGATAAGTAGTTTGAGAGGGGAGAATAAGGAAGGAATTACTAAACGTTCCCCAGGAAGTGCTGTGGCCTGTTCCCTCCCGGCAGCCTCCCACAGACCCATTCTGCGGGCTTCCACTGTGTTTCCTGGACGTGGTAGGCTCAGCAGACCAGGCCCAACTACAGCCATGGGGTGTGGATAACATTTGTTTCAACCTATACACCTCAAAGAGTCAGGTCAAGGATCTTGAGTGTTCCCTTTGAAGCGTATGGCACCAGCAAGGGGTTGAGTTAAGTCTCTGTGGGGACTCTCATGTCCTAGGCTACCTGGAAATACAGAGGGACCCTAGTAACGTGAGGCTCCTTGTGAAGAAGGCAGTTAGTCTTGCTGGCTAAGGTAGAGATGTGTTTGCTTCCCGTCACAAGAACTACAGAAAAATACTCTGCAGAACACAGAAAGGCTTCCAGAGAAGCAAGTCCAGTGGTACCATGGGACATTCCCAAGTCTGCAGGGCACCAAGCTAGCTCTCAGCAACTTTCCCCCTGAATCAGCATCTCTACCTCACTCTCATCCACCTATGAAACAGGTGATTTAGAGAGCCAGCCAATCCCAGGTGAGCTAGAGAGCCAGCCAATCCCAGGTCTGATCTATAGCTGAACCTGAGCAAGGAGGAGGGAAACAGCCACAAGACCAAACCCTGTCTTCTATCTCTTCTATCTCTAATGTGATAAACTATTTTTAAATTTAGATTCATTTTATGTATGTGAGTGTTTTGCCAGCATGTATTTCTGCCATGTGCATGCTCTGTGCTCACAGAGGACAGTAGAGGGCATTAGATCCCCTGGAGCTGGAGTTACTCACAAGTTATAAGCCGCCAGGTGGGTGCTGGGAACAGAACCCAAGTCTTTTGGTTCAGAGCCAGTGCTCTTAAGTGCTGAGCCATTTCTCCAGACCATGACAAGCTATCTCTCCACGTGGCCTCTCGCTTTGTGGCTGAAAGTGCCTGCTACTCACTCAGACTCTCCACAAGTCCTCTCTCTCTCTTTCTGTGGCTCCGGATAACTGAACAGGGCCTCTCTGTGTGGCCCTAAATAACTGAAAGAGCCTGCGACTTACTCAGAAAACTCTTTCCCAGCTCATAGTCCTCCTGCTGGGCAGACCTCACCCCTGGGTATTGTCTGAATATCATAAAGAGGAAAATGCCAAATGCTAACTTGAGGGCCTCTAAGTCAGAACTGCTAAGATCAGGCCTCAGGAACACACACGAAACTGAAGGAAAGCAAAGACACTGCCTGAAAGCGCTCAGCTGACTCTACTGCACAGCAGAACCTCCATGCTGGGAGTCTGTGACCACTGCTCCTAGAAGCTGCTTTTCCAGAGACAGTGAAAACCAATGATGAAATAAAATTAGCAGAGTTTCCACAGGCGGCGCTCCTTGGTGCACTACACAGACTCGGTGGCTCCATCTCTTTCAGGAACAGGAAGCTGCACCTTCCACTTTTAACACAGGCCAGAATGCCCAGAGATGGGTTCACTTCTCAAAGGCTGGATCCAAGATGGCAGAGTGCAGTGCCTGGAGCCTAAGAAAAGGTTTCTCTCTTTCACAAACTAGCCCAGATGTCCGGAAGCTAACATCTGTGGAAGATACTAGCTTTGTGGACACCTAAGAATCAGATGGCAGCTGTCACTCCACACATCACCCTGGGTGGGTGCGTGGAGTCAGTGACCATGGTCCAAAGACATTTTATAGGGACCTTGGGTTACTCTCCAGTTCCCACCTCACACCCTCAGATCTTACACATGGCGCCCTGGGCCTGAGTGCCATAGCTACTCCTCAAGCTGCCCTTCCCTGTTCTGGCAAAAGCAGTGTCTGACACCGGGCAATGGTTTTTTGTGTTCAGAACTTGGAATAAGAACCCACACTGCCCAGGCTGTCTAATTCAAGCTTTGGAAATCTTTTAGTATAGAGAATTTTTGGTTGTTTTTATTTGAATTTTGACTTCTCTCAGTATTCTTCATTCCCTCCCTCCCCCCGCCAAAAAAAAACATATTCCTAAACAGAGCAACCATCCCTGAGAAAGCTAAGCTTGAATAAGGAACACACTACTGAGGGACACCAGGACCACTGTCCTCACTCTTTGTATGGAAAAGCTACTGACATCACAATGAATGGGGCTCCTTCATTCTGTGACTTGAACTTTCTTCCCACCCTTCCTTTATAGTCATCAAAAATACCACCAGTGAAACTGGATTTATTCTCACCACACAGGTTTGTGAGAGCCATCCTTCACCAGCCATTCCATGATGGCAGCAGAAATGGGAAGAGATGAAAGGTCAAAGGTCAAGCCTGACCCCCCCCCAATGTCCTTAATGTGGAATTCCCCACCAGGAACACGACCGTCATTTTTCTTCTTTTTTCTATTTGTTTCTTTTACTTTAGTTTTGAGGAGGTTAAAGGAGAAAGGAATCAATTTTAAGGACCGTTGTTATCTGAATGCTATGACTGTAAATCTCATAAATACCCACCAAGACTCCATTCCACAGTCAATGAGGCTAATCTCTAATTGGTCACGTTGGTTTATGGCCCACTAGGGTCATCTATATCTGCCATCACCCAAGGCCAAGTCTCCATAACTTTATCCCTCATTAATACTTCCTGATAGCTGGCCTTTGAAAAAACAGTTAAAGACAAAAAATAAATCAGTCTTTCCTCAAACCAGACATTAACAGTTTGCTTTTTCTATTGTGTGTGTGCACACCTGTCCATGTTCATGCCCACTATCTGTAGGCCTGTGGTCCTCACATGCTTATGCGCAGGTGTCAGAAGAGGACCCCGGGAATCATCCTCCAGCATCCTTCACTGAATCTGAAGCTCATGTGTTTAGTTAGGCAGCTTGGCCAACAAGCTCTGGGGACCCACCTGCCTCTGTTCCCCAGCACTGGGGCTGCAAGCATGAGTTCATGCCCAGCTCGTAGTGGATGCTAGGTATTTGAACACACGTCCTCCCACTCTCACAGAAGGATGCTTACGTTCCTGAACCATCTTTGCTGCCCCATATTTTTGTTTTAATATGTAATAAAAATAAATTTTTGTTTTAATATTTTTGTTTTAATTATGTAATAAAAAGGAGTGAGTGGGCAAGAGGAACAAAGAGGAGGGGAAACAACTTTACAAAATTTAGCTGTTGAGCCTGGTGACTATAAAGTTCCATCCCCAGGGTCTGAGTGGTAGAAAGAAAGAACTGGCTCCTACTAGCTGTCCTCTGGCTTCCTCACTCACGTCACACATACATAATAAAAACTCAGTTGACTTTTTACTTTTTATAAATAAGTGTTTCTAAAAAGATATTTGAGAGACCCTCCTCCAAGTTATGATCAAGCCAGGAAACAAACCTAAAAACTTATGCATTTAAAAACTGAGTTCACATGGATGAGAGAAGCTTAATTCAGACAAATATTAGTATCATAGAGGAACATTCAAGGGAAATTACATCAAAATCCATGTAAAACTGGCCCTTTAGTGTGTGGCTTTCAAAGGACACAGACCTGCCTCTTAGAGCTTTCAGACTCTGGGCCTTCACTTGAATCAAGCTTCACCCCAAAGAGCCATCGAAGATCACAACAAAGCCTGAAGTCAGTGAACCATAACCTGCCAATGCCGGTTCTCTACGAGGCACATGGACCACAGTGACACTGGGAAGCCTCAGCAGAGGCCTCCAGAAACTCTCTGTGCCGTCTACAACTTTTCTATAAATCTAAAATTACTCACAAATAAAAGTTTTACTGAAGAACGAACAAAGAGCTGCCCTCCCAAGCTGGAGTCTCTGGCTTCGTTCTGAAGCTCTTGCTCTCACAAAGGCGTAGGAAGAAGCACACCCATCCAGAGATTTACTGCAACAGACACAGCCAAGCAGCTAAACTCTCAATTAAGAGGAAGATTTAACGGGAATGACTACAACAACCAGGGGTGTCTGGGTGTCGCTTCCAAACACTGCTTGTTTTATGTACTCCTGCAGGGCTTTTGGTAAATCAAACTGACATAATTCGAATCACATTTTGAGCATGCTCAGGAAGCCTGGATGTTTAGGAGATATTTAGACAACACCAAGGAAGTAGGAGGTGCTTTCATAGAGAGAATGATTGCCCTCTTGTTTATTGTTAGACAAATCCATTCTGCGTGGATGAAAGCAGCTTTGCCTGAATCACCTTTGTCCACAAGCTGCCTTACAATCCCCACGTGTAAAAGCTGGCCAAGCAGCCTCTTGTTTCGGATCTCCACGGTCCCCTTTCCCTCTCGCTCCACCATATCACTTGTGACTCAGGCTAACTCCCAGCTATTACAGTGAAGGCCTCAACATCACAAAGCAGGCTCGGCCCTTCAGTGGAGCAGTCACCTGAGCAACCAGACCGAGTGGATGGGACACTCTTCTGCCGTGCTGTAGCTGAAGGGCAAAGGTGTGGTAACTGTCCCTCATCTCAGGAGCCCTCCCAGGAGCTCTCCTGCTGGCCTGGCAGGGCCTTCTCCTCCCCTGTTAAAAGTGGGGTGCACCATAGCCAGATAAGCAAGATCCACAGTGTCGGCTTCTGACCCACGAAGAGGAAGATGGGACTCTGATCCCAAATGGATAAGAGGGTAGAAGATAAATCTTAAATATTTTATGAGTCAACCAGTTGCTCTGCTCTTGAGTTTTCATGGGGCTTAGCTCCTCAGGTGTGAGATCTCATTAAGCACTGAGATGGTGGTTAGAACGACCTTCTCACGAGCTACCAAAGCCCTCCATCACTAATCCTGTGTGGATACCGTTAATGGTCAAACTCATTCACTCCCTATCTTCTTCGGGTCACACAGGTCCCCTTCCTTAACACAGCTTCACCCCATGAGTCTTTTTAGCTAATGGCTTTAAAGCTGAAAAGGCAGCCAGCACCTAGACAAGATCTACATCCCTAGCTATCCACACTCCACACTTGCCATGAGGAGCAGAGCTCCTGTGTCACGTGGCTAGCAAATCCGGTAGCTTAGGGCATAGCTCTACCCTTCCCCCACGTGCAAAGCCTCCAGACACTCACCATAGTCAACTCCAGGCCGGCCCATGAAGTGAGCGGAGATCTGTCTCTCATCCTTTCCATACTCGTTCTTGGCCATCAGGGTGTAGTCTCCGTTATTCATATGAGTGGGGTTATCCAGCTGGAGGCAGCCGTGGTACTCCGTGTGATTGGTAACGTGTATCTTAGTACAGATGTACTTGGATTCGTTCAGTATGGCCCCATTGTAGAACCACTGAAGCGCTGGCTTGGGGTTGCCTCTCACAGTGAATGGAATGCACCAGTGGTGGTCTGACGTGGGAGATTCCAGAAATGTGATAGTTGGTGCAACTAAAATCAGAGACAGACAGAGAGAGAAAGTGTGTGTGTGTGTGGGGGGGGGTTTAATAGCACCAGACAGCTCAGAATCCTCCTTCTTGAATTCTATGTCAAGAAGAGCTTTTATTTAACCATCATTTAGTTTAAGAAAACCAATCAAACTGCAGATTCAATATTTGTATCATGTGACTGGTCTAGCCCCTACCAGGAGCTCCTGGGAACAGCTCATTCCACTGTGCTCAAGACTCACACAACACAGTGAGACTGATGGTAGAATGTGTCATCTGAGGTCTACTTTGTCTTTGTTCATGCTCCCCCTACACACGCACACATCTTAATATTATGTGTATTCGTCATAAGAAATAATGAGAGGCACTCTTTTCATTAGTAATTCTTCCTTAAATAATTAAAATAACTATAGAAGTCACTAAATTGATAATGACTTTGGAAATGTTCCATGAAGCTCTGATCCCGTGGAACACTTGCTAAAATGTATCAGACTAATCAAGACAGCGACTGTTACTGTTACTATTGCTACAGAGGGATTAGCATGGAGAACGAGAGCCTGAGAGATTCTGTCACTGCTGAATAGCAATACAATTTTAGATGCTCTGAATTATAGCGTGGTTCAACTTGACTAGATTCTAAATGTCCACATTTTGATTCTTGAAATGTCTGAGGTCTGATTTCAGCTTGGGAAAAACAGCCTAGTGATTATCCAACTTTAAATATATATACCATCTTATGCTTTGGGGATTTAGGCATGCGCAAATGGTTTCCTTAAACTGACTTCAGAACAAGAACAAGGGGCTGACACCGCTTCTTAGTTAAGCACACACAAAAGCCTTAGATATACTCCTGTGTCACAAACTTAAGCAGCCTACAGACTGCCCCATGACAGAGGCAGAAAACCCGCAGTCACTGAGCATGGAGGGCGTACTCTGCTCTCGATACGTACAATGCACAGTGAGGTTTACAGAGTCTTGATCTTCTCCTACGAGGTTTTCTGCCACACAAGAGATTTGCTTTCCACTGTCATCAGATGAAATGTTAGTTATCCTTAAGGAGCCCTGTGTGTGGCTTGTTTCATTCTACAAATGAAATAACAGACAAAAAAAAAAAAAAACATTGATTAGAATTAATCCCAAAATATCAGAGTTTCTTCCTGAAATAGAGTACACACACACACACACACACACACACACACACACACACTTTCCTCAAAGTAACTGGGAGCTATTCTCTGGTTCTGGGTTTTAATTGCTCAATGCTGAGTTTGACTTAACTCTTAGATTCTTGCCTTCCTCCAAGGGCAAAGATTAAAAGGGCCACCACTTCTTGCTCAGAACGACAATCTGATGTGTACAGATAATTAAATGTAATCTTTGGATTGGCTTTGTCTAATTAAAAAAGTAGAAACTAAACGACATTTAAAAAGTTATTATAAATGCCTATGTGTAGGCAAGCAAAATATTGGGTGGTTTTGATGGTTAGTATAGATCAGTAACTTGACAATATAGGATTGCCTAGAAAGGGAATCTCAATGAAGAACTGTTTGGGTTAGGCTAGTTTGTGGGAGATTGTCTTAACTGGGTTAGCTACAGTGGGATTATCCACCGTACATGTGGTGACCGGTCACGGTGTCACTGAAAAAAATACAGATGTGACTATTTTGATTCCCAGCTGATAAGAAGAAATGATTTGATACATGCATTGATTCACTGTTCCTTCCTCTTGGCCATGAACTTACTCTGACTAGCTCCTTCAAGCTCCTGGGGCTGTGACTTCCCACTAAGGAAGGACTGGAGATGTAACCTGGGACTGGGCACCCAGTGAACCTTTTCTCCTTTAAGTTGCTCTTGTCTGGGCCTTTTATCAGAACAATGAAAAGGAATCTAAGAGAGTGATTATCAATATGTTTAATATGGTCTCCTCATTGTCACCCTTACAAGACAGAACTAAACACAGCCTCACCATGTGTTTGGAAACCAAATTTCCAACGTCCCAGTACAAGGTGGGGAGTGGGTCACCCACCACGCTGCAGGAAAGGGTCACAGACTTTCCTTCCTCCACGGTGAGGTTAGGGGCAGCCAGACGTGCAGATGGCAGACCTAGAAAGAGAAAAGGACACAGAAATGCCACAGTTACCATCAGAATCAAAATAGTCAGACATACATTGTTGCAGAAGCCTATTGTTTCAGTAACTCAGTTAAGTTTAGAAACCTCCACTGGGCCCCAGAGTTAATAGAATCAGATTGTCTAGGAAAACTAGTTTGAAAGCATTTCGGAAGAATGAAACTCAAACGATGACCTTGTTAGAATGCTTCAGAGCCAAGGTAGAGTTAATTATAATGAATTAAATTGACCATTCTGTTCATACTGATAAGTTATCACAATGAAAAATTCTTAAAAACAAAAAGAAAATCTTAAAAATGTATTTGTTGTTAGAGGAAATTGTGAACATTACACGTTTATTTTAACATTTCAGTGGTGTGGTTCTTATACTTATGTTTCGAGAGCTAGACAGTTTTTATTTTAATTCATGTTGCTTTTGCTTCCTCGGGCATCTCTCTTCCCAGGTGTGCATGCTGCCTTAAACTGCAGGAATCACAGTACCTTTTACCTAAAGCACAACTTGGATAATTAACTATGTGTTGGTCCTGCCAATCAAATCAGCCTACTTGCTATGAGGACCATTTGGAGGGACTGTGTCCACCTCAGTTGCCAAGTCTCACAGAACTGTTATGGGTCATTGTGTAGGAAGCAACTTGGAGGTCAGAAAAGGCAGTTCTTCTGCAGTCACTATTAAATTGCAATTCACCCACCTATTTGCCAGCAACCAAACTGACATATCTGATACACAAATCTTTCATCATTAAGCTACCCTCCCTGGCTAAGCCACTATTCTTTAGTATTGAAGCCAGACTAGACAATATTTGTACATAGTGTGTCTCACAGTGTTCCAACCACTGAAAGAAGACACCCCAGTAAAACCTGGCTTTCAGGGACTTCTGAGACCTCCTTTGAATGACCCTTCCCTTAAGCATCCAATAGAGAGGAATGTTGCATCTTTTGTGTGGTTTCAAGGAGTCTTGAGCTATCTCAAGTTTCATGAGGCAACAAAGCACATAACAAAGGTCAAGAGAAAGCACAGTAAACAAAAGCAGACCCTACACTGTAAACCTCCTTCATATGAACTGTGTGAATTATGAAGCAAGTCAGGGCAGAACACCATTAAAGTTTATGGTGTGGTCTGGGTAACTTCCTAAAAATACGTGTTTTGTTTACTTTTAGCCCAACACGAAGTCACATCATTTAAAGAGTCTATAATCATGTAAAATTTGTCACTAAAAATAATCAAGCTATTGTGTGAAGAACAGTTTGCCCTCAGCTGAATGGCATGGCTTCCTGTTCCCAGACACACCCACTTCATCTATTTGCATATCTTCTTTACTGTTGATCTCCACCTCAGGAAATATTATGCTTGCGCTCCTATGTGTTGGCTTTTCCGTTGTAGAATTACCTACTGATCTCCTGCCAGGAGGGAACTAGAGACTCCCATCTTTGCCCCAGATTTTCCCACTTGCCCACAGCTCCATCTTTACATCTTTCCACATGCTGTGAAGACACATGATATAACAAGACATAAATCAAAACACATAAACCTTCCTGAGATTTGGACCATCTAGAACCCATCGAATCTACCCAGTTATCTTCAGATCATTTTGAGGAAGAGATCATTCCAATTACTCAGCCCAGTGGAAGAATTATTAGACATCCTCCCCATGTCCTTCTTAGATGAGGGGGAAGACTACAAATATATATATATATGAAATCAATATGTAAATTTGTCATGTTTTCTATGAATGCTATAGCCTCAAGTCTACCCAAATCTCCTCAGAATCTTTATTCTCTTTATAGAATGGATATCCAGTTTTTCCCCCAAGAAAAGAGGGTTCCATCACCCGAGCCATATACAACAAGAAGCCTGTTGAATGTGAATAAACAGCAGGCTTTTGGCCAATGTCTGTGATGGTGTCACCTACACTCATGCACAAGTCACATTTGCCCTGTGGACCACTCAGTGACTAACAATCTGAGGCACTATGCCAGTTACAACACATCCCTTTGCTTCCCCGGCTAATAGTGTTTGGTGTTCTGTTGGCTCCCACTTTCCTTATATTTACAGATCTATTTACGACTCTAGGGTAACCTTGGGATCCAAACTTGTTCTAAAAATTTGCCCCCCCTACCCCAAATAGCCCTGTCATGGAGCTTTGGGACGTGTGTTTCCCTTCATAAATATATCTGTTATTTTAAATATTCTGAGTACAGGAAGTGTCAAAATGGGCTTCAGTAGGTAATACTACATAGCAATCTTAATTATTCCCATAAAGTCTGATTAAGTCTTTCATTCCAAACTTCAGCTTAGGTGACTAACAGCCCTAAGTGTGTTTGTTTAGTTACAGTAGGAGCAATGGTACCATTTTCTGGGTAATCATTTAAGTAGACATTCTCATGGTACAGAATCCTTGCAACCAACCCTGAGGACAAAAACTTTTCACTTATTTAATTAATGAAGCCTATAAGTACTTGAAAAGTCAAGCACATCTTTCAAAGTTGCACAAGTCTATGCAAACCTGGGATTTGAACCCAAAACAAAGGGCCTTCAGCACTATAGTACATTGCCTCCCAGAGCTACACACATTTTGTTCAGATCATACATACTACATCATATCAAAGATCTGAGAATTTGGCTCATCTGTAAAGAGTTCTGTGCCTATTTTGTGAAGGAAGAATGAGTCTCCGTATTATAAATTAATTGTCTCACCCTGTCAAAGGACTTTGCAAAGGAATCTGTGCAAATTGGCCAAGCTTAGATCTTTTAAATGTAAAGTCTCCTGCAAATGAGTAAGCACCTGCCTCGTGTTAAGTCTACAGCATTGATGCGCTGGCCAAGACCCAATAATGGAGAAAAACAATCTGTACTTGAGATATCACTTGAGGCTTAATTAGCACAATAAAAATGAATTGGGAAGCATGGATCGCCAAGGCGGGATAAACCACTCGCCAGGCACTACTTCCTTGCTTAATAAGATTTGAAATCAGCATAAGTCCACAGCAAAGCTCAGCAATGCTTCCAAAAGCTGTGGGTGCTACCATGATAGGCCTGATGGCAAACACCAGCCATGTTCCTTCTGCAAGGAGAACCTCACAGAAGATGGGAAATAGCCAGTGTCCCCAGCAGAGAACCCTTATCAATGATCTTGACTTGAGTTTGTTGGGGAAAGAAGTGTTCACCTGTAGGCTGTTTGATTAATGAAGTCTACAAGTGTTAGACATAGTAAACCGGCTGGCTTTCTTCGAACCACAGCTCCCACTTCTTAGGCATACTCTACTCACCGACTCACCGACTCATCGAGGGACCGAGGAACCCAACTCCTTTCCCAAACTGTATGGGTTGAACCCAGAAGGTTTGTGTTTCTAACAAACTCCTCCTGCCACAGACCACAGTTTGAGTAGAAGGGTGTTGGACAATTGTTCACTAGGCTTTCGACTTTACAACTATTATTCTTAAACCCAACAGAGGCCTGGGTAATTATTTTTTCGACCACTAAAATTTCCACAAAGTGTTTTCTGGGAGAAGTGAATTCTTTAAGCCGTGGAAGTGAGCGTGGTGGAGATGGGGGCATGAGGCAGAGACAAGTACAAGAGTAAAAGTCACAGACGAGAAGGCAGAGAGAGCTAAAGAAATCTCGGTGTGTGTAGCAATGCCACGTAATACTCCTCAGAAGTCTTTCTGTGGAGAAAGACAAACATGTAACCACCATTTCCCCTAGACCCCCTCAGAGGACTTAAGTACAAGACCACTTGGACTGTGTGATTTTGTTACTTTCTTTGAAGCGATTTGACACAATGTAAAATATTTAAATCCAGTTTAAAATATTTAGATCCAGATGCCAAATACTTTTAAAGATACTATTCATGTTGATGATAGCAAATAACACTAATAGCTAATTAGCATCTCTTACTTCTTTTAACATGTGCTGGAGTCCATCTTAAATGCTTCTGTGTATTCTCCCTTTCCTCAACCCAAATATCCAAGAACACGTTAGTTAGCATCTCTGTTTCCCAGTGGAGGAACTAAGGCTTAGGGAGTATTGAAGTTAAACAGTGGCCGTGTTAGTCCTAGCCTGACCCTCACCCCTGCCCATGGCTTTCACCAGTGCACAATGGGCTGCGGCCCTAGCTGGGATCTCCCATCTGCTCCAACCCATAATGGGGGCGAGACTCTGAAGACCTGAACGGAAGGTCAAGAGACCTCAGTCACAGGCCCCAAATATGTAGGTTGCACCTTCCTGATAAATGAGAAAAGCAAACCTCTGCTCATTTGGGTTCTTACCTAGGAAGGTCACAGAAAGGTCACTGTCCTGCTTCATTTGTCAGTGTTCACTATAAAGCATGATGGTGTATTTTGTCAATCGGTCAGTAGTTCTGGGCTCTGATTACTTGATATTGGCTTACCATTCACGTGTATAAAGCTATCCTCGAGAATTAGAATTTCGTCTACATTCTATCTTTTCCTTTCTCCCTTCTTTTAAAAGTTCTATATTTCATTTTATGTTTACGAGTGATTTGCCTGAGTGTATTATTATGCGTGTATGTGCATCACGTGCACACAGTGCCCATGGATGCCAGAAGAGGGCATCAGATCCCCTGCAAATGGTTATGAACCACCTTGTGTGCATCAGGAATCAAACTTGGGACCCCTGGAAGAGCAGTGCTCTTAACCACCCACCAAACCATCTCTCCTGTTGTCCCTTCTCCTCTCTCTTCTCTTTGTGCATAAAGAGCCCACAGAATTCTACTTTGAAAAAATATCAACAGTCTGGACTCCCTCTATCTCTGGAGCATATCTGACACCTAATGATGACAAACATATATATGCGTATGTGTATACATATGCATACACATATACATGTGCATATATAATATATATGTATGTTCATTCATTCTGTAAGCAGGAATGGAGTCAAAATACTAAGACTGATCTGTTTAGATGTAACTGTTTGCTGAAGAAAAATCACACACTAAATTAAAAAACATCTTC